AATAAATTATCTAGACAATCAATTATACTAGCTAGCTAGACAAACTTTACAAACTTAATTTTCTTTAATTAGAGTTAAGCTTAGTATCTGTTGTCAAAATATTTGTAAACATATAAGTATATATTAACTGCTAAGAACTTTTTTAAAAACTTAAAAAGTAATTATTTTACAAAAAGTTCACATTGTTAAGGTTAGTGTTTTAACATTAGATTAGAGTTCAAAGATATTATTTGTTAAGATTTGGTATTATGTATAATAAAAGCAAAATCATATTGTAGTATTTTACCTGCAATATGATAATATGCAAAAAGTAAATACGATCAATACAATTTTATTAGTAGAATAAATTACTGTTTTGAATTTAAGGAGTTTGAGGGATAATATTATTTTTTGCTTGCAGTATCATATAAGCATAAGCCTTTAGTACCGGAGGGGCTTTTAATTGTAATAAAAGTATTTTTGAAATATAAAGCAATTTTAGGTAATCGTTCGAACAGTATAGAAACCAGTAGTCATCATATATAGTAATTATACCATATTGAAACCAATTTTTTGCCATATACTATATATTTGTCAGATCATTATCTTGGCTTTATTATTTGTTATATAAAGCTCTAGTAATATTCATTCATCCATTTCTTTCAAAATATACTTTCTCTTAACTTCAAAAACTATAACCAAATCATTATTGTGATAAGATATAAAATCTAGCTCACCAATGTAAGGTTTTTGGCTTGAAAATTAATAATCTATTCCCATTAACTCATTTAAGACTAAATTAATATTGGCATTCACAGCTTCACAAACATTCGATTCATTAAATAATAGATGGTTGTAATGAAATTGTGGCTTTTCAAATACCATTTGTTGTTAATCAAAGATATGCTCATTTGCTTTTTCTAAAAAATCATCCTACAGATGTACTTCTTTTGGTAGTTTACTGTCTACTGATATAGTGCTTTTTGAATCGCAAGCAAACGGTAATATTTGAAGGTTGGCAGAATATATGAAAGTGCCTCTTCTTGACTGAGACCTTAAAACAAACATAAAATACTAAAATAAAAAAATACATATACGTTGTTCTTAAGAATAATCATCACTTACGCGATAGTGGGTACTGAATATTGGAACCAGTCTTAAAGGTAGTCGTATTATTAGCTAATATTTTTTCCTTTTTTGGTGAAGTGCCTATGATGTCTATGGTATAATAATTTCTATTTTGCTTTTCTTTTGCAACAGATATCAGATTAGTTTTATCACCCAAAATTATACGTGTATTGTTTTTATTTTTTCAGATATAGCTTGCTCTATTGATATCATGCTATACAAAAGAAAAAAAATATCAGATATGAGAAAAATACTTCTCAGAAAATAAAATAATATAAAAATAAGGATTAGAATG